CCATTACCGTCCCTCCCAACTACAGCACATACACCATCACCGTCCCTCCCAACTACAGCACATACACCATTACCGTCCCTCCCAACTACAGCACATACACCATCACCGTCCCTCCCAACTACAGCACATACTCCATTACCGTCCCTCCCAACTACAGCACATACACCATCACCGTCCCTCCCAACTACAGCACATACACCATTACCGTCCCTCCCAACTACAGCATATGTATATTTTACCACGTGTGAATGAACACTTTAAATTCACACGGATGATCGCATTTCACTTTGAGAAAACGTGATTGTAAGTGCACTATTTAGATTAAGCGTATTTTTTTTAGACATCACTCATTTATTTTCAGCGTTGTATGACTGTGTTTTAAAAAGTAATCGTAAAATTAAAAATGAAATTGAATGCACTAAATGAAGCTAATGGGAAACCTAGATTTGTGATAAAGGATATTTTCTAATAGTAAATAACTACATATATATTTATCTCCGTACTTGACTCATGGCGATGTGGCCAGGATACCTCCCGCTGTATTCATTTCGCAATACGAGATCGTGATTTGGAAGTCGGACAAAAATAAACTACCTGTATGTTTTAGACTTACACAATATCTGTGTTACCGGACATTCTACAGTACAGGTACACACACTTTAAGTGTACGTATCCTACTGAGATGTGTTGGAATAGAAAAACACAATTAAACGTGAACAAGTATTTCCCTATATAGTGTACCTACTTTGTTTTCGAAATATCACACATATTGTGTTTTGTTTGGCCGTTATTGCTTAATTGTTTTCGTATGGTATTTCAACATGTAAAAATGTCCTTGATCTAAAATATTATTGCCCTACCCTTAACTGAAGACTAAGCATAACATCATAAAAATGACCTATGCCTACTTTGCTAACAAAGTACAAAATAAAATACAAGTAGCATTTATTTCCTTGGTAACACACATTCTATTAAATGACGAGTTACAAGTTCTGTAAATCAATGAATATTCAGAAGTACCTATTTTCGACCTCAAAGACAAATGTTTGAAGTCACCTAATAAACAATACCAGAAAAATCTAAATATAGCTTTGCGACTAAAGGTTCCTTGTGTAATTGCATTCGCAAATTTTAGCGAGAATAAATACATCGCGAAATCGAAAAGATTTGCAGTATAACAATCTAATTAAAATTATATCTTCACATCGCTCCCGTTTTCTGATATGTCGCGTTGAACGCGACATATCAGAAAACGCGACATATCAGAAAACGGGAGCGATGTGAAGATATAATTTTAATTAGAATGGCAGTATAATGGTATAGTGTAAATCAGTTTCACGAGTATACATTTAGAAACTTATTCGTGAGGGCTATAATCTGCGATATGAACTATAAAAGAAAAGTAATATCTTTGAAAGGTTTCCAATAAACGTTTGGGCTTACATGTAATAATTTAACATTGTTTGTAACACGTTTTTTCATTGGTTTGTGTTTTGGTGACGTTATACACAAAGTTCTTCGCGGTTTATTGAGCGCACTTCGTTTTTCGATCTATATCGATAGACGAATTTATTATCTAGTCGAATCCTTAAATACCAGACTTGTACCATAATAAATAGACATCGTGTTCATGGCGAGATGCATTTAGTTTTTGTGTTCAACGACAAATATGGTTTTCACGTAATTTGCATAATTATGTTTTCAAGGTAAAAATATATATATTTCACCTGCAATAAGATTCATCAGATGGAAATATGTAATTTCAAAGTTTTACTTTCAATACTAAAACAATGTACGTATTAAACGTGTCGTAACGTTTCAAGACCGACTAGTCCCTTTGTCAAGCTATGAGTGAGTGAGCGATTTGCATTTATATTGTTTACCTGTATAACGATGAGACGAAATTGTATATTTTATATATGTCACTCGACCCGGGACGTTTCACCTATCGATAGAGTGTATAGACATCGTATCGAATAGTTTGCATCTGTTTTCAAGGGACATCGATATTATTGTCGCCAAATAAAAGTAAAAAACAAGACAAGTCTCTCGAGTCAGTTTAACAGTTTCTTATATTTCAACAATATTTGACGGATTGTACGTAAAGTGGATGGTTAAAGCGTCATCAAGTAAACAATCAATATATTTAATATTGTACTCTTCAAACTTTGTAGAACATATATGTACAATGCATAAAAAATAAGTGTTCTTTATTCTGGCGCTCTTGTAAGCTAAAAATCTCATTCAATAAAGTACCGAGAATTGAGACATCGAGTCCCTAACAAATAGACTATGGGAAATGATTGCCCTTCCTTATATGGCTGTAGTAGCGTTAACTTCCTCCTACATGCACGCTGTCATATAATTAGGGAGTAGAGACTGGAATGGGAAGAGACACACGTGTCGACTATGAATGGAATGTAAAGTATTAAGGGTCAATTTTTCTACTCGCTATAATAAAAATTATCACATACTGTTTTTTGTTTTTGTTTCTCGAGGAGTATTAATAAGTAGGTTTAATCAACCGCAGGTAAAATTGTACAGGTGTACTAGTTAGTTGTAACCAATCACATATACAAACAAATAATCGTGTATTAGGGATTGTACCCCGGGCTTGTTCCGACATGTAACAAAGTATTGTAGTTATCTGGGATATATTCGTCCCTTGTATCTCTTGATGTATCTAATATTTATCTCTGACCAGATAAATTCCTTCTCTCTATCTCGCCAACTGCTATCGCGACGAAGACTTTGATTCACACCCCCGGCCGGACTTCTGGTCCGACCACAGGCTGGTACGGTAGGCTGTACCCTTTGATCAGGTTCATTCGGTTATCATGGTCGCTATCTGTAATATGTATGCATTGCTGATGGATATATATATCAGCCATCCGTTCGCCCTGATTATTCGACAACCACAGTCCAGACAAGTTTGACCAAATAATCTACAAAAGCTTGACCACCAAAGTTATGTAAATAGTAAATAAAAACAAGTGTTTTTGACATAGGAATTACATCTCGCACTCTCATCAGTATGCATAGCACTTTTTAGTTCACATCCACTCCATACACAAGGTTCATTTAGCATCACGTGGGTTTTTTTGACACAGGAGTTACCTTAGTTTCACTAGGTTCTCGTATAATACATTATAATACCTGTCACAAGCTGACTTCTACAGTCGTAGGTCTACGTACGCCAGCTCACACTCGAGGAATTCCAGCCCTCGGGCGATTTTCATGGCACATGTAACACACATTTGTTTTTTATACGGTACGTCATCATCATAGGTTTGAGGATATGAACGCGGAATTGTTCACGGGGGTTGTAGAGCAATGAGCACGTGGTTATGGGTACGTGAACCCTCATTTCGTTGAGGTTGTGGGCCAATGAACCCAAATTTGTTGGAGATTTTGGGTCCGTGAACCCTCATTTATAGGTAGTTATGGGTCTGTGAACACGCTCCTGTTGCTGTAATACTGAGCTCCCTAATCAGACAGGCCCGCTCTCTAACCTCACATCCCGGCCATTCGTTATACGATCTATCGATTTGCGCACATTGATCATGCAATGCAAACGACTTGAGCTGTCTCTATATATTATTCTCCAGTCTAAAACACCGCTATCTTCGGTATAAAATATATTACCACCTGTATCTTGTACATTTCCTAGCTTTCTTCGATAACACGAACTGGGCGACGATATATTTATCTGATTTAACCGCGCTGGCATCGTCCGAGGTCGAGATGACCTTTCACTTTGTGGATGAGGGTCGGGCCAGGCGCAGTACCCCAGTGGTTCGATCTCCCCGTGGTATGGCTCAGTCTGATTCCATCTGTATTCTACTCGATCGATGGCCCGTACACGCCAGCGCGTCGAGCCGTATTGACTTCTAAGACGTCTGCCTGCAACATACCAACACCAAAAAGCCTCTTTAGTTAAATACCCCTGCATGAGTTATAGTACCGAACACATTCAATGTCAACGAGAAAATAGAGACAGAAAAAATCCTATTATAAATTGCACAGTATCACATGCGTGTCGTTTACGACAACAATGTTGGCAATCCTCTTTAATAGGTAGTCAAAGCATGTTAGTGTATGTGTGTACGCTATATACCAACAAACGTGACTTTATACGAGTCAGTTTTCGCCAAATACAAACACCAGAAATTCTCTTCTGGTAAAAAATTGGCTTTATAACAACACTATAGAATCAATGTGGCATTTTCTGAAGGGAAATACAGTTATATCGGTTTTGGTAGACTTATCAAGTACATGTATCCTATGACGAGGCAATCATGACGACATCAATGAACCTGCACTTTGGTCGCATTATCGTTAATTGTCTGTAAGGAGAGCAATGGCATGGCTCAATCATAAGTACCGGATATAAATAGGGCGTTTTAATGCTACACTGTTACTGTCCGACATGGTATCTGGTAGACGCGAGTTAGGCCGATATTGACAAAATGCTTTGTTTTCTAACCGTTTCTTAGAAAATGTGCATTAAATGTTGTCGAAATAAAATCAATACGTAAATATTCGCGCAAAACGTAAACATTAAAGTCAAGATGAATATAAGGAGTTGCACTTTCAAAGCGTATTAAACGAACACTGGTAATCTTAAACATACACTAGTGAACCCAATAATTGCAAAACGCAGAAAAGTATCCAATGATTATATTGACCTCTGTGTTGGAGATTTAACATACACAGTGTTTTATATCACGGGATTGCTCTCCTGGCCAGAAACTGTGGATCACGAAATGTCGGCGGATGATGAAACGGTTTCTGAAGCAGCAATGTATCAGTACACGAACATGAACTGTTATATAATCTGTGGGACACGAAATGAACCAACCCTATTAACCCTCACGCGTGTGTGTCTTCAGTCAGTCACACACGTGCTCTCACGTGAGGGATCGAAATGTGCAAAAAGACGATACGCAATTTCACCAATAAGGTGAAGGTACACACGTGTTCATGTAATTTGGTCAAAACAAACGGTTATTTCTATCGCATTGGTAAGAATGAATGGCGCGAATGTGTATACACATATTCATAACATTTGTGCTTGTAACAGGGGTTAAACAAATAGTCAAATTTCCTACTGCACTAGTAACGTTCACGTGTTCACAATACGTACATTTGTAACAGCGGTTTAAACGCATAGCAATATTTTGATATTGACAATATGTTTTCATTGGAGGGACAAAATGATCACATTAACACCTTGACGCACGTTTAACAAGTAAAATAAAACTATGGCATGTAAACACCAATACGCTAGACAGAACACGGTGACAAACCCTGACATGTCCTATCGTCTGACTGGGGTGTATATGTGCCTACCTTTTTCGGTGCACCTTTAGGTGTTTAGAGAGGTGGTCAGACCGGGAGAAGCGTTTTTCACATAGTTTACACTGGTAAGGTTTGATTCCAGAGTGAGATCGTTTGTGTCTGGCCAGTTCGTCTGACCGGGAGAACCTCCAACCACAACCTGACCACGTACACTCAAACGGTTTCTCACCGGTATGTCTCCGCAGGTGAGCCTTCAGGTGCGAACTTTTACTATACACCTTATTACAGCCCGCGTACGTACAATGATAAATCTTCTCATCTATTTTGTCTTTGCTAATGCCTAATGCTTTGGACGAATGTGCTTTGATGGATCGTATTTTAGCGGGGTCTAATAGACTAGCTTGTGTTAGTAAAGCACCTGAAGCAGAGAAAGAATATCCGGGTTTCGTGAGGTAACTCCGATTACACCTGTTTACTATTTGTGTTTTCCTTGGAAAGTCTATAGATATTTCCTGGCCCTGTGTCGGCACGGCCTTTGCGGCGTAAGAATGCATTAAATTCTGCAGTCCTACTCCTAGAACCACGAATTCCTTTTCAGAATTATCATTACACGTATTTGGAAAACTAGCGAACACATCGTCACACGAACTGTCCTCTGAGGTATCGGAACCAGCACTGTCTATGCACATTGATGCACTGGCACTGACGAATGAATCGCAGTGCACGATCGGTAATTTGGCACTAGCACTTATGTTTATTGTATTGGCAGGAGAGGTAGGCACCGATGCTATGTCGAATTCGGCAATTTCAGGACTCATATGTCCCGTTTTATCCATAGAGTCCGCTAATCCTTGAGAAAATAGATATTCCAGGTACATTTCGTCGTCCATGGACTCAAGGCTCCACACGCTGGAAGGGCTGCTGCTTCTCTGATCACCATGACTACCGTCAGTTTCCTCACCTGCCGAATTCAGCCGTTGTAACGTGTATTGCTCACGTTCTAGGCTGGACCACAGTGGAAGAAAATCTTCCATGGTTTTTGATTCCAAGAAACAGAACTAGTGCGATGTGGTGTCGTCTGCTATGCTTTGTTTAGTTCCTGCTGCAGCTGAGCTGGTTATACTACTACTACTATACTACACGGCGTTACACACAGCGAGTCTGGGCCTCCACTCGCTCCCTCCACGTTAGTCCGCCATCTATATACATTATATAGTATGTATATATACAAACATGAATGAATTAGTCGTACGAGGGGCTGTCACTTAGTACAGCCACGTACCGGTCGGCATTGTCTCTCATTGGACGACCGCTAATTGCAGCATCACATGAGTCTTCGTCCTTATGGTATCTACCCCTAGTCACTTGACAGAGCTCATTAGCATACGGTCCCGAGGGCTGGTAAGGGCATGCAGACAGACGGCGGAGAGATGACTCGTCCTATCACGTCTTACCTGTGCTGTCTTCCCTCCGTCCCAATTCCTCACTATACCTGATTGCAGCAATACATCGTCACGTGTTAATTGCAGGACAGGTAGATCGTTTGTTGTCATTAGGTGGAGGGTATCTCACAGTTCAGCATATATACCTGAACTTATCCACATATGATAACACACTATCTGATGTTAATCCCTAGAAGTCATTCCCTAGAAGTGTAACATGTGGCAAGAGTCGTACCAGTTTTGTTTAGTATTCTTAATTCTTAAAATAAAATTATACTGATGATAACAAATCGCTTTATACAGATTTATGAACCAGCCGATAGGGGACAGCCCGGCGTGACGGAGTGTGTCGTCATGTGACTCGTTTGTTTTTCGTACCTGGTTTTTACCTGTGCATGCTAGTTTACCTGTGTCAACCTCCCTTCTATTGGGAATGTATGTAAAATGTCTATGTTGACAAGTTTGAAATATTTTCCGGCTTTGCCCCCTCTACATCATAAATACTATTACTATACCGTATGTGTACACAGAATATTTAACGTGGGGAAACGTCTACTCAAGCACTCTAGCGACCAGCCAGTTGGAACGGTCCCTCGATATCGTCGGCCGGACCCTAAAACCCACAAGACGGAGTGTGCTGTTTACAAGAAACTTGACAGATGATCTTTACTAGGTTTTCTACATTTATAAGCGACCTTCAAACTCACAATTGGTTATATGATATGTAACGTAATCTTTGTCCCCATCGTGTCTTCCGAACAGCTAATACAAACATTTCCATATAAGGTGGTCGGTCCTAGATCAAATTAATATAGAAATATGTGTTTTAATGCGGATAATTTGTTTTGTATTTCAAAAGTAAACGTCATCACTTGCAATGATCGCCCTCCAGTACCAAATATTAGATACATTTGTTTGTGGTCAAAGTTTGGTTTGGTTTGGTTTCCTAGTGCTTAACGTCCTATTAACAGTTAAAATCATTTAAGAACGTGACTCCGTGTGTGTTATGTATGCGCGCGTGCGTGGATGTATGCTAAATGTATGGTATGTTGGTGTATTTGCCTTTTTACGATAGCGCGTATCTGATGCCGACTTTAGAGTGCTATTTTACTGAAATACCACGCGGAAGGCAATCAACACAGCATTCCACCTGGTCATATTATACTGACAACAGGTAAATTAGTTGTTGCCATTATCCTAAATACTGAACGTTAAGCAGGGAATAGAAACTACGATTTTTAGGACTTTGGTATGTGCCGGCCAGGGAACTGATTCTATTACGTTTAACATTTAGATCAAAGGCGCAGAAGGCACTGAAGAATTTCCGATTCTGCAGAGTGCCCACATAAGTCGCTTTTTACGACACGATATAACAGGTCTATTCTTTCCTCGAATCTCCGGATAACTAGTGGTCAAGAATGGCTCCAAAACCAACCCGTACTTTCAGCTGTCCCATGTCATTTAGCAATTTCAGAAGTCAAATAACATTTCAGCAGAGATTTGGAGTATCAGACATGTGTCGAAAAGCATGTGCTTTCAAACCTGAGAGTCAAAACTCATTTCGGGGTGTCAAAAGATACTCCCAAGGGTCAAAAGATACTCCCAAGAGTCAAAAGATAATCCCAAGGGTCAAAAGATACTCCCAAGGGTCCAAAGATACTCCCAAGAGTCAAAAGATACTCCCAAGGGTCATACTTAGTTTATTCTCATCAATGTCAATGATGGCCCAAAAACCGACACACATATTACTGTATCAAAGTAATATCCTAGACAAGATAACGGCATTGTTTTTATAGTGGGGGTAATCACCAAAGATGTGGGCTACCCGTGTTTCTTGAGATCTGCGCTATATGTCATCCCATACTATGTTTATTTTTTATTTTTCAAGTTTTTCGAGTTCATTCAAGCGTTCTGTGAATTGTTTGTAGTAGTGGGTCACAAACGTCAAGTTGAGAGGACACACTTGAAACTGTTTAATATTTATCAATACCCCCGATAAGAATGATTCCAACATCTCTTAAAGATAGTGGTAATAAACGTTAACGTTACGACTGTCGAGATATAGGCGTATCACTGTGATGATGAGTGGTATACAGTACCTGTGTGTATACTAATACACCGTGTGTTGTTACCGTGTGTTGTGGACACTAAAGGCGACAAGGTTACAAAGAACCACAGACATCTCTTTGAATTCTAATTTAAAATTAGGACGTGCACAAATAAAAACAACTCCGAAGTTTTTTTGCGATATGCTGATATAAGGGGTATATCCCCAATTGTGATGGGACCCACTGACGTATAGTACAGCGTGACGTCCTTGGATATCATCAATATATATATGTGTATATGTAGATTAAGGTGTTTACCTGACATTCTAATTAACTTGTGCGCACCTGAGTAAACAGACCCAGGAATAGAGCAGACCTTACATCAATAATTCATATTTCTTTCGGAAAGTGTAAAATATGTATACGGCGTCATTCCTCTTGACCTATCTACCGGTACATGTGTGACCTTAGAGCTATACAGGCATGACATCATATATCTGGTTGTGTATTCTATTAAATACTATAAGAGTTGATTAACATATAACCGGTACATGTGTGTCCTTGATACACATTAAGTAAGGTCACACGTGTATTCGTCCATAGGAGCATGAAAGTGAAGATAGTGCGTTCAATACGTATATTTTCATTCTAAAATAATAACTAGTGATCTAAATATAAGAACTCCGTTATCCCCAATGCAAATCATATTCCTGGAACAGCCGAACGTCATTTAAACGTTTGCTACCTATATACAGTATAGGATGACCTCGTGCAAAATGACATTGATCCTATTGGGTTCATGATTTAATAAAAAAAAAAGCACATTTTTTCCCCCCCTTTTTTTTAACTTTCATCTACATATAGTGTGTTTTGCGCAAATGTAAATATACTGCTTAAAATAACGATATTTAATTTAGACACACCCTTACCATCGATTTTTTAAAGCATGTATCAGCTGCAACATGAAAAGGAAACATTCATGTAAGTATGTTTTAGTTACTGGGGGAGTCTTTGTCGTAATATTGATGACAATAGTTCCACATGTACTTACGAAAACTGAAGAAGAACATCGCTACTTGNCCCCCCCGATATGTATTCACGCAGTTAGGATACTATTGTTACAATGTTAGTACAAATATACAAACAAAAGTTATTTTTTGATATTTTAGTTGAGAAAGAGATGCTAAAGATGGAACCTTCATATTTGTGTGACTTTATATAATGTATTATCTTTTGTATTGTATTGCTAGATAATATGGCGAATACTGTTTTGGTTTTAAAACAATATTAATAGCTTTCGTTGCGTTTCGTTAGCCTTCATTTAATATGATACAGTTTACGGTTAGTTTAGTAGAGTTGATACGTAAACTATGCTTTGTGTGTTTATACTATACAGGAAACGACTTAGTTAAAACTTCTAGCCGTAAGTTTCCTGGAAAAATCTTGTTATTTGTATTAATGTGACATATTCACAATCCCAATCTAAAAACGGCCCGATTCAAGCGGATACACATGGCAACATACGAACGCATCCATCTTAAGAATAAAATTAACTTATAAAAGCATTTCACAAAAAAGACAGTTAAACAAGACTACCGAGAATAACTAGAACAGACGAGGCAGTACACACAGTATACCAATGGGGTGATAACAGGTACACACGTACAGATTTTTAAAGAAAGATAATCATAAACTATGAATTTAATTGGAAATTATTTTGTTAAAGATTATGAATTCAGAATTAGGATTTTCACAAATTAGAACGATAAAACTAATTAAAGAATCATGACAAATGCAAACCACAATTAGATATAGCGGTATTTATACGATATAGCTGATGGAATCCGATACCAAGTCGTGTTTAAAAAGGAGTGTATACACACTGTGATCATTGCGTCATAGTTCTCAGATCGTCAATATAACATACAGATAATGTACATATACGTCACGACATGCGAGACATATAGATCTAAAAAGAAAACAAATCTATAAAAAGGTATTAAGCCCAGATAAACATCTACATGTAATAGTGAAAATGCCCTCGTAATACCAGATATAATAGTAAAACATCATTGTACATGAAAGGCAAGCTATTATAGTAAAGTACAGTCTCGTAATAAAGATATTATAGTGAGTACAGTCTCGTAATACAGAAATTATAGTGAATACAGCCTCGTAATACAGATATTATAGTGAGTACAGACTCATAATACAGATATTATAATGAGAACAGCCTCGTAATAAAGATATTATAGTGAGTACAGACTCGTAATACAGATATTTTAGTGAGAACAGCCTCGTAATATAGATATAATAGTGAATACAGCCTCGTAATACATATATTATAGTGAGTACAGACTCGTAATACAGATCTTATAGTGAGTACAGCCTCGTAATACAGATATTATAATGAGTACAGTCTCGTAATACAGATATTATAATGAGTACAGCCTCGTAATACAGATATTATAGTGAGCACAGACTCGTAATACAGATATTATAGTGAGTACAGCCTCGTAATACAGATATTATAGTGAGTACAGCCTCGTAATATAGATATTATAGTAAAGTACAGCCTCGTAATACAGAGATTATGGTGAGTACAGTCTCGTAATTGAGATATTAAAGTGAGTACAGCCTCGTAATACAGATATTATAGTGAATACAGTCTCGTAATACAGATATTATAGTGAGTACAGCCTCGTAATTTAGATACTATAGTAAAGTACAGTCTCGTAATACATAGATTATGGTGAGTACAGTCTCGTAATAAAGATATTAAAGTGAGATCAGCCTCGTAATACAGATATTATAGTGAATACAGTCTCGTAATACAGATATTATAGTGAATACAGCCTCGTAGTACAGATATTATAGTGAGTACAGTCTCGTAATACAGATATTATAGTGTGTACAGTCTCGTTATATAGATATTATAGTGAATACAGTCTCGTAATACAGATATTATGGGCAGTACAGTCTCGTAATACAGATATTATAGGGAGTACAGCCTTGTAATCCAGATATTATAGTGATTAAAGCCTCGTAATACAGATATTATAGTGAATACAGTCTCGTAATACAGATATTATGGTCAGTACAGTCTCGTAATACAGATATTATAGGGAGTACAGCCTTGTAATACAGATATTATAGTGATTAAAGCCTCGTAATACAGATATTATAGTGAATACAGCCTCGTAATACAGATATTATAGTAAAGTACAACCTCGTTATACAGATATTATAGTGAATGCAGCCTCGTAATACAA